TGGGCAAAGAAGTTAAATGGAGCTCTTTGCTGCCAAGTCTTTTGAGCTCCTTTAATATTTTACACTGCATTGTAGGAAGCGATACATCTTACAGAATTAGAAGTTCTATGAGATACTTATCTACCATATACAGAGGAAAAAAATTGCTCATATTGTAAATATTAGTTTGGGGACAGAGGACTATAAATAAGTTACCTTGTGTCCATTAGTATTAAACAACAAAAAGATATGATATGAACAAGATTCCTAACCAACCAGGTAGAATTTTTATGTTATAGTCTTGGGGCACAATTCTTTTCTGGAGATCCTCAGTTTTTTCTCTGAAGGTCTTCATATGATTGAATGACGCCTACCTACATGATAAAGAGTAAGTCCCTTTACTTTAGGTCACCTTGTTTTAGATGTTAAGCACATCTGCAAAATACCTTTCCAGCAACATAGGCTTATGTTTAAAACTAAACAGCTGAGCACCATAACTGAGCCATGCTGACACAAAATTTAGCCATCACATACATTACTAATTTGCAGATAGAAGAATGTAAATAGAGGGAGTACTTTCTAATAATCCTCATGATGAGTCAGCACACAGATTAGTTTGACCAGAGCTAGTAAACAAAGCATATTTGGCTGAATATAATAATAGTACCTTAAATAGGGGTTTGCAAGTTATGGCCTGCTGCCTATATATTTATATATGAAGTGTTAGTGGAGCATAGCCATGCTTATTCATTACATGTTGTCTGTGGCTGCTTTCATTCTTCAGTGGCAGAGTTAAGAAGTTACAACAGATCATATGGCCTACAAAGTCTGAAACATTTAGTACCTACCCTTTTACAGAGAAAGTTTTTCAACCTATAGAGAAGATGCTGTGGTTCTTGTTCTGTTATGCCCCTCTCTTAGTTTAGTGTATCCCTTCAATTTAGACTTCAATGCATTTTCTGAAGCCACAACTTTTATTAGATGAATAAAAATCAGTCATTTCTAAATTTTTATTGTACATTCAGATTTTTTTTTAGATCACGTGCTCAGTTCAGTTTTCATGGATAAAACAAATGAGTTCAGTTAGGCTTTATTTTATGTTGGAGAAAAAGAAAAGTTTTATTGCTTTCACAGGGGAGGCTGTAATTTTGCTCATCAAGGGGAACAGATAGTTTTTAAAGAGGTGATTCAAAGGCTACATTACTGGTGGGGATCATAATTCACTTGTTAATTTGGCAAATAGTCATTTTTAGATCTTCTGGTGACATCCCTACATTGAAATTCCTGTGGAGGATATATGCTCAAGGACAGATCACTTTACCTAGGATGGGAAAGAAAGGTAATCCAGATGGCCAACGTGCTGTATTTGGTTTCCTTTTTCTCAATGTATACCAAAAGATGGAGCAACCCATACAGTTGAGAGAGAGGCCTGAGTTCCCTGGAACAAAAGGAGCTTCTGGAGCTGCTTGGACAGTCCCTTAGTCCTTTTCTTTACTCACAGGAATAGTTCCTCTGGTTGGACCCAAGGCAGATTCACCCCATCTTCTAATTCTCTATCAGTGTGCTCTCAAAAAAGCTTACCAGCCACCTTACATCCTTAGTGTGGAAGGGGGGTTGCTCACAGTGCCAGACCCACCCCCAAAGAACTGAAGCATGGGCTGCTCTTGGGTTCCTTTGTGGTTGCCAATTTATTGAAAGCTTGGATCTTGTCCTCATTACCAATCTGTTTTAGTCAACTTTTTTGCTTCTGTGATTAAATTATTACCAGAATAATTGCAGAGGAGGAAAGGTTTAGGCTTCAGAGGTCTTAGTCCGTAGAAGGCTTGCTCCATTCCTCAGGGCTTGAGGTGAGGCAGAACATCATGGAGGAAGAGTGTGGCAGCTCAAATGGTGATCAGAAAGCAGAGGGAGAAGTCCCCAGTTGCCAGATACAAATACATACCCAAAGCCAAGCCTCAATTCCTACCTCCTCCAGCCACACCCCACCACTTCAGTTACCACTCAGTTAATCCCTATCAGGGGATTAAATCACTGATTGGGTTAAGACTCTCACAACCCAATCATTTCTCCTATGAACCTTGCATTGTCTCCCCCATGAGCTTTTGGGGGACACACCTCATAGCCAAACCATAGCACAATCCAAATGAGGACATCATTTTGAGAAGAAAGAAAAAAGAAGTTTTAATGTTTGGTTAGCAAAGGAGAAACATAGGGGATTGCTGTCCCAGAGACTGTGATTCTCCTGTTAGTTTCCAAATGAATACTTGTGTATCTATGGGAAAGAAGGGGAAGTATTTTTTTTTCTATAAATTTGCCATTACAAATTTCAATATGGATATCTATTTTCCTTCTTTTAAGAGGGTAAAAAGATGTATTTCTGTACCCACCTCATCCCCTGTTTTCAAATAATGTTTAACCAAATTGTTATTATTTCCTAATTTGCTTGCTCTTAATATCTACAAAGTTGAATTAGACTACAAGGTGTATGTGTTTCCATAGCAAAGAATAAAGTACAACTTTATTTAGTGGAGAGAGTCTAGACTCTGAATTCAGACAATTCTAGGTTTAAATTTAGTGGCTTAAAACAACAGCTATTTTATTTCTTGCTGACTCTGTAGGTCACCAGTTTGGGCTAGGCCCTGCCACGTGGTGATTCCACTGGTCTGCTAGGGCCACTCATATGACTGCAGTCGCCTGGTGGCTGCACCAGGACTGGGTGGCTAGGATGGTCACACCACTCTTTCTGACACATGATTCTGGCTAGTGTGTCTGGGTAGCTGGGCTCTTTTTCTCTGGGGCACTTTTATCCTCAAGGGGGTTGCTGTGCTCACAGTGTGCTGGCAGCATTCCAAGAAGGTAAAGTGGTAGCTGCAAGGTCTCTTGAGGCCTACATGCAGACGTTCACCAGGTTACTTCTACTTCATTCAAAATAAGTTACAAGTCCAGTGAAGATTCAAGGGACAAGGCAATAAATGCCATGTCTTAATAGGAGGAGTAACTAAGTCACATTGCAAAGGTGTGGGCTCCCAGGAGTGAAAGACATTAAGATTGCTGCACAATCCACCACCATAAATTAGTTAACTTTAATTCACGCCGTATTTGGAAAGTAGAAACGACAATATTGTAACAGTGGTCCACTTTATGCTTTGAGTGTAGCCCTTGTTGCTCTGCTGCTGCAGCTTATTTTTAAGAGGGACCTGTTTCTTTCTCTTCCTCTCTCCCCCCCCCCTCCTAATCTCTTTTGCCTCCCTAATCTTGGGGGAAACTGTATTTACCTTTCTTCCTCATCCTAGGCAGAGTTATCTGTCTGCAGCACACACCCACCAAAAGAACAAAGTAATTCAAACTTTGGGAATGGCACCAGAAGATGTGGAAATGACTATCTCCTAAATTAACAAGTAGGTTACCACTTACAACAGAGCACACAAGAATGTAGCCTTTGAATTGCCTCTTTAAAAATCCCCCTGTTCTTGATGGGCAGAGTCACAGCCTTTGGGACAGGAGTCCCCTGTGTTTTTTCTTTGCTAGCAAAGCAATAAAACTCTTCTTTCCTTTTCTCAAAACCGTGTTTTCATTACTGGATTGACAATTGGGGCTAAGGACCGAGTTTTCAATAGCTTTATGACTTAAATTGCAGGATTCTTAAAGTTTAACAATTATATATGCACTCAGAAGTATTTCTTTGAAGGAGCATCCTTATTTTAGAAGCTGTTTTCACTATAAACCTAAATATGCAAATAAGTATTCTTTCTTATTATTAATTCTGCCATGTATTTTTTTTGTTCTTCTTAGATATATATGACAGTAGAGTATATTTTAACATTATACATACATGGATTATAACTTATTCTAATTAGGATGGCCATGCATTTTTAATATGGAAAACATATTAAGATCCACTCAAAGGAACTCCTTTGTAAAATAACTGTGTAGGAAGATCTTTGTGTTATGTAAAAAACATATTCATTTAATATAAAAGAGCAAAAACAATTATGTTCAAATGTGTTTACCAAAAATATACTTCCCCATAAGTTTTATTTTTATGTACCTATTTTCCATTTTAGATTTTTAAAAATATTGGCTGGTATTGTAAGGTTTGTTTTTACTTTAATTCTTGAAGGGACTTTTGGATTCTAGCAAACCCCCAAACTTCATATTTTTATTTAATTAATATTTCTTTACAAATCCTAGAAAAAAAAAGCCAAAGAAATAAAAATATCTTGTTGTTTTTTTTACTGTGGAAAACCTTCATCAGAGGCTCTATTTTAACAAATGTATCTGTTTTGCTTTTTACTTTGTGCTTTCTAAAACAGTCCTGTTTTGAGATATATATTAGAACATTGGCAAAAATATTTGTTAAAACTCATCAAAGGTATCACTCTGTTCATTGGCGTGGGAGGTGATAATAGACCTTCCTTGGTTTTTACTTTAATGTTTAAAAATTTTTACTCATGACATTCAGGCATTTTAAGAACTCTAGTTTGATTATATTTTTCTAAAAATATTAAGGAACAAAGTTTATCTTTTCTAAATTCCCAATTCTTTAACTTTTAAAAAGTGATTTTGAATAAAATCTTACTTAACCAACCTCAGAACTCTATTCTTATATAACATGCATTATAATTTATTCTACTTAAGATCTATGCATATATTTACACATTATATTTGGAATTTAATTTGTCTTCTTTTGAAGAAGGGTGAAATAGGTGATATTAGAAACAAGAGATATTTATTAAACTTGCAATTTCTGGGTCTATATTTTTAGTAACCTCTTTTGAGGGCCTAGACAACTCTAATAAGGGAACAAATACCTGCATTAGGGCGGGGTAGACAGTCTGGTATTTAAACAACAGACTAGAATAGAATCAAACTGGGTGGTTAGGAAATCTTGGCAAGGCAGTGCATTCCTAGTCTTTCTGATTCTAGTTCTTTAAAAAAAAAAAAAAAAAAAGATTTTTTTTTTCAGATCAAATAGCCACCTGAGATCCTGAAGGGATTAGATTTATTATTTAAATGCTCACCATTATCATCTTCATCATCTTAGTTCTTGTCATTTTTATGTAGAGAAATCCAGTGGAGCAGGATTAAGCCTGTTATTCCTGTGCTCAGAAAAGTAATTGATAGAATATAGTTTTCTTTTTCTTTTTCTTTGTTCCTTACTGCATTCTTTTGCACCTAGAAGGGTAAGAGACGTGGATAGGGCATAATTAAATAAAGATAAGGAAAAATCATAAAGAGAAGAGAGCTAGGGGTCTGGGAGAAGGAAGCTAGTAGTACAGCTTTTGTTTTCCTGGTTTATTTTAGCCTTCTTTTCCTTTCCTATTATGTAAGCTCTAATTTGCTGTTGTTACACAAGAGGGAGGAATAAATAATCTTTGGACTAAATGGAATGGGAGAAATATTTCTAACCATCACCAGTCCAGTGAACTGTAGAACAGTTCTTAATTGTGCAGCCTAATCTTTAAGGAATGTTAATGCTTCATGAGCTTTGCTCTCTGCTAAGTTTTAAATTGTGGTGGTGATTGTCTTAAGTTTAATAATTGGGAATGTTGATAACTGCAGATACTAAAGAATCCTGTTGTATTTTGTTTCAATTAGCTACTGAGGGGAATTTACCTAAATGATACATTTGTATTATTTAGTTTTTATCTAGGGCATATGTATCTTTTCCATTGGAGAAGATTTTAATAGTTGCCTCTACATTCTTTTTTTAAAAGACATTTATCTTGAGGTTATGATTGAGATTGTTTTTAAGGTACTATTTTTTATGGTTATTTTTTAGTATAGTTTCAAAGTTTATTTGGTTTCTAGGTATGAAATGGGTGAGATAGATTATGGTATCTGGTATGTTAAAGTAGTTGATTAGTCTTGTAAATATTTCAAGGGAAGTTAAGATTCAGCCAGTTATTGCTTAATATAAATTCTTGGAAGTGAAAAAAATAGGATTTTTTAAAGACTTTATTATAAAGTGGCCCAAAGAACTTAATGAAAAGGCAGTTACTTTAATCCTTGAAGTCCCTTTTGAAAAATGTTTATGATAAAACTGAGAAATCCCACATTTTACATCTGTTGGGGCCTGCCTTCTCTTCTACCCTTATCTCATCCTGGATCCCCCTTACTGATTATGCATCTGCTACACTGGCCTTCTTTCAGATAAATTGTACTTTTACTGTTGTTCTCTCTCCTTGGAATGTAAATCCTCATAGGCTGGTTGTTCCTTGTCATTGTGAACTCAACATCATGATCACCTTCTCAGAACAGCCTTTCATGATTAGCCAGCCTCACATTCTACTCCAGCATTGCCTTCATATCTTCCCTATGTTTACCTGATAACTTGTTTTCCTTAGTTGTTCGCTTTCTGTCTTTCCTTATTAGGTCATCAGGTTCCATTAAGGAGAAGAGACTTTGGCTATCTTACTGTTGTATCCCTGGTGCTGTGCCAGACATGTAGAAGGTGCTTCATAAAAGTTTGCATATGTAAATGTAGACATTTTCATATGTTTTTGCTATAAAGGACATCTGAGTTTCTTAGGTTTAAATTTTTAAAGAAATATTTGCATTTTTACATTGATTTTTTCCAGATAATTAGAGACATGAGAATAGTTTAATTAATAGAAAGAATACCAGGTAGGTGTCAAAACAACAGGATTCTACAGTTCCTACAGTTATGGCAGACAAAATCCTCTAACCTTGGGGTAGGGGAGAGGGACTGAAGGATGAGTTGATCATCAGTGGCCAAAGATGTAATCAAGCATACCTGCATAGTGAAGTCTTTATAACAACCCCAAAAGGATAAGGTTCAGAGATTTCTTGCTTGCTGAATACAGGGGGAACTTGGAGGGTGACACTCCAGCAGATGGTAAGAAAACTGTGCTGCTTCCCACATACTTTGCTCTATACATCTCTTTCATCTGACTGTTTATTGTATCCTAGGTAATTATCTTTTCTAATAAATGAGTAAATATAAGCAAATTGCTTCCTTTAATCCTGTGGGCTGCTCTGGCAAATTAGTTAAACCAGAAGAGGGGATCATGGCATAACATAAAATTCAGCATACCATAAAATTCACCAGTTAGTCAGAGCATAGGCCACAACATGGGGCAAGTGGTGATTTGTCTTAATTGGTTTTCTGTTACTATAATCAAATGCCTGGGACTTGATTGTTTATAAAGGAAAGAAATTAATTTTGGCTCAGAATTCTAGGGACTGTGAAGTCTTAAGAGCATGAATGGTACAGACGTTTGCTCTACTTGTAGTGAGGTCATCATAACTTGGCAAAAAAAGGAAAGAGCAAGTGAGTTTGTTGGAGTCAAAGTACAAGAGGTGGCTTCACTTTATAACAGTTGGCTCTTAAGTAACTAATCCAGTCCTGTGAATAGCAATCTGATCACCTCTTAAAGGCCCCACCACCTCTCACAACTGTTGAGGACCAAATTTCAGTGTAAGTTTTGGAGGGGACAAACCTATTCCAACAGCAGCATCTTAGGTGAGGAGGGCAGCAATCTTGGGGATCTGAGGCAGTCTTCAGGTGAGTAGTGTCAGAATTGCATTAAATTGGAGGGTGTCCCCTGGAAAATTGCTTGTCCCACATATCTGGTCATAGAAGTAATTTGTGATGAGTGTGAGAATAGAAAACACAGTTGATTTTTCACGTGTGTGTGCTTATATGCAATTTAAAAAGAGGATCCATTGTTTTCATCAGATTCTTAAAAGAGTCCATGACACTCAGTTTAAAGCAGATTTCTGTGACAATATTATTGTCATCCTCTTTGCATAATGTATCAAAAATTGTTTTTAGGCTTAAACTGGTTACTAGATCATTTTAACTGTGTCCTGTTGTATCTGTCTTTTAAATATAGGCTATTTTATATTGATTTGCATAGGATTTAGAGTCTGCTTTATTCTTTTTTACATCTATGCATTTCTTCTAAGAGACTTTCTGTTCTAAATATTGATTGGATTCTTATTCAATGTTAGATTTATCTTGATTAGACCATTCAATAGAAAAGAAACTAGGCAAAATGTTTAATAATGTCATTTCTGCAGTTTGGAATTATGGTCATTTCTTTTTTTTTTTCTTTTTAGAAATTTTTAACTATTTATTTTTTTAGTTTTTGGCAGACACAACATCTTTGTTGTATGTGGTGCTGAGGTTCGAACCCCGGCCGCACGCATGCCAGGCGAGCGCGCTACCACTTGAGCCGCATCCCCAGCCCCAATTATGGTCATTTCTATTTTCATTTGTAAACTTTATTGTAGTATATACATATTTAATATAATCATGCATTTTGTTTAAATTAAAAAAGTTTCATAGCATTTCTGAAAAAATTATGAATTTATAATCAATATGAATGAGAATCAGTGTCAAACTTTTTCAAGTTATTTCTTTTATGTTGATTTCAAGATTTAAGTTATGATACAGTTAGATCTATTTAGTGAAATAACTGATTTATGTTAGTATGTTATATTCTCTAGAAACAACTGTAGTTTGGCTTTTGCCATAGAAAGTTTGGCTAGCGGCTGAATTGAACGATTTGCAAACTAATGTAATAACTGACTGTGGCAGTGTTTTTTGCTCTCATACATGGTAAACACTAAATGGGCCTTAAAAATATTATTTCCTTTCAGAAGGCTTTCATTTAAAATTTTAGAGTAAGAGAAGACAGTCAGTCTGTGACTTGTACATGCCAAGATATGTTGAGAAGTTAATAGCTCCTTTTTAAAAGAAGATAGGTGCCTTTTGTTAAAGGATCACTGTACTGCTTTTCCTGCCATGCTAATAATTCAGTAAAGGACCTTAGTAATAAGCATGTAATGCAGTTTAAAAATTTATACATCAGCCAGATTTTTTTTTGTGCCATGTATCAACAGTGCATGAAATGTAAGAGGTCAAGAGAATACTTGAGTATAATGAACCTATAGCTCAGCTTTAATAGTTAATATTAACCTACAGTCAATGTTGTTTCATCTACACCCTCAATCCCTGATTTGAAAACGTATTATAAATTTTTATTAATCATGTTAGGGTATTGGGAGATATTGCATTTCTTGTATTATGTTTTATTTTTAATTGTGCCAAAAAGCATAACGTAAGGGGGCTGGGGATGTGGCTCAAGCGGTAGCGCACTTGCCTGGCATGCACGGGGCGCTGGGTTCGATCCTCAGCACCACATACAAATAAAATAAAGATGTTGTGTCCACCGAAAACTAAAAAATATTTAAAAATTCTCTCTCTCTCTCTCTCAAAAAAAAAAAAACAAAACAAAAAAGGCATAACATAAAATTCACCATTTTAACCACTTTTGAACATACAGTTCAGAGTTTTAAGAATGTTCACATTGTTATGAAATTCATCTAAAGAATTTTTCATCCTGAAAAACTAAAGCTCTATACCCATTAAATAATAACTTTTCATTCCTCCTCCCTCTAGCCCCTGACAAACCACCATGCCATTTTCTGTTTCTATGAATTTGACTGCTTCACATACCTCATATAAATGGTAACATACAGTATATTTTTTTTTCTGTGACTGGCTCATTTCACTTAGAGTGTTCTTAAGGTTCATCCATGTTGTAACATAAGACAGGATTTCCTTTATTTTTAAAGACTGTATAATATTCCATTGTATGCATATGCCACAGTTTGTTTATCCATTCATCCCCCAATAGACATTTGGATTGCCTCTGTCAATATCATTATGTTCATAATGCTTTGAACATGGGTGTATAAGTAATTCTTTGAGACTTGACTTTCAATTTTTTTGGCCATATGCCCCAAACCATATGACTGGATCATATGATTGCTCTATTTTATATGCCCAACATTGTTTAAGAAATGGTTCTCTACGTACTTTCCAATACCTTTGTCTTTTCTTTATTTTTCCTTTTTTTATAAT